TGACTGAATGAACATTATGGTAAATTTTGTGCATGCCTTCAATAAGTTTAAAGTAATGATAATGATTGGACAATTATACCTGCAGTGTAGGGTTGACATGTTGGTGGTTCAATGATGATGCAACCCTACAGGGGCTTGTTTGAATCCACTTTATACTTTCAAACCAGCTACCCTACAGGGGCTTGTTTGAATTCATTTTATAGGTTCAAATCCAACAGAGGCTCAGCCCTACACTAAATAATTTTTTAAATTTTTTTGTTCTAGTGATTATATTTACTAACTGTTCAAAGCAACTCTCAGTTCATTGTATGATAAGTGAACAGCAATCATGGCACAACTGCAGCAATTACTTAAAATGAATTCTTATTATAATTCATAAAAAACCTAATCATTATCTGCAGCTTGATCAATATCTATTAATTGTGTGTGTGTGTGTGTGTGTGTGTGTGTGTGTGTGTGTGTGTGTGTGTATGTGTGTGTGTGTGTGTGTGTATATAACAGAACATGTACTAATAATGCTATATGCTTTAACATTTTGTATGGAGGAAGAGGAAGTTAGTAACTTCCTCTTCCTCCATACAAAGTGTTACCTCCTCTAGTAGTCTTTACTGCATCATGTGATGACCTCTTGGAAGATGAAAACTTGACAGGAAGAAGAACACGTCTATTATCAGTGGAAGAAGCAACACTGGGTCCATTAGGGAAGGATCTGTCTCTACTTGACTGATGAAGGGAGCTTGCTAATGATAATGGTTTTAACCAAACAGCTTGAAATAATGGAGGAGAGACAGGAGAAGGAGTGGATGGACAAGGTATGTGTTTACTAATAATAATTATTTATAATTTATCACTTGTTTATAGGACCTATTGAGAGTAATAATGCCAGAACACAAATAAAACAAGTCAATTATCAATCATTAGATGGAAGTAAGGAACCATTAAAATAATGTTGTTGTTGTTATTATTATTATTATTATTATTATTATTATTATTATTATTATTATTATTATTATTGTTGTTGTTGTTGTTGTTGTTAAGATGTTGCACTCTAACTGTCTGACTATTATGTAATAATGTGTGAACTTTTGATTGTGCATATGTGTAGTGTGAACAATTGATTAATCTATGTTGTAATATATAAGTCATGTTTTTCATTTATCTCGCACTCTGCCTAATTGTATTTCTTTAACTAAGAATCTTTACAGGTACTATACCTCTGCCTAATTGTATAGAAGTTTAACAGTTGTTGTTGTTTATTACACAAAACAAAGAAACAAAGATTATTATTAATGTTATTATTATTCTATACAGACCCCTGTTAGACAAATATCCTCTAAAGAGTGACCTCCTTAGGTTATTCAAAGATTCTGGTGTTCATAGTAAAATTATTGGTACTGCACTTGATGTTCAAGTAAACGACCTAGTACCTCTTCCTCAGCTTACCTCAGATAACCTCATACTTGTGTTCCAGAGATGGATAGACTCTGATAATGACGTGACCTGGAGGAATTTAACATACTTCAAGTATGTGAAGATTATCCGGATGAACTTGGAAAAGCAAAATCTGATGTGGAGGGATTCCTGTCATCAGATAGAGCCCGTAATAATTATAAATAACAATACATTGGTCTTGACTTTTGATTGTATACATAACATGATACTTTAATACATTATACATGTACTTGCATACATTATTCTTAGTTATTTTTATTGTTGCTTGTCATTTATTATTATTATTAATATTACTATTATTATCAATTTCTGCTTTATTGTTCTGCTTTTTGTATTCTTTATTTACTTTTTGAATTATAGAAAATAATCATAATTTTAGTATCAACTATCTACCAACAACTGATGAGCTATTGATACTTGTTATGTTAACAAAAGCTCCTTCTTTACTATTGAATGTATTCATGTGAATTCTGTCATCATTGATTATTAATATTAGTAGTCATGTCTCTCTTTCTCCTCCTGGACTGACATGAGCTGATAAGCATCTATCAATAAACTGAATTAATGCACATGTACACCAACTATTTATATATGTACAAGTAGAAAACTAACAAAGAATTAATTCAACTTCATTTGAAATCAGCTCAAACCTGGGGTACTCTGCATGATAGCTTGTTGAGGCTCAGTTGTTAAAGCTGTATGCATTTTTAATAATTTTTGAACCAAAACAAAAACAATACTTGACCATAATCAAACTAAAAAACGACTTAATAGCAAAATAAAAAACTTGCAACTGTTGCAAGCATTGTTCTACTGAACATAAATCTCATAATAGCCAATAGGAACATCTTCATTAGCAGTTCCCTGATCAGTCACACACCCTCAACTCAATATAGTCAGTAGTGGTAGTGCTACCATAGTCTCTGTGAAACCATGGG